TCCGCTACCGGCACCTGAGGAGCAAGGTCACCAACATCTTCATCGTGTCCCTGGCCGTCTCGGACCTGCTGGTGGCTCTGCTAGTCATGCCCTGGAAGGCGGTGGCTGAGGTGGCCGGGTACTGGCCCTTTGGGGCTTTCTGCAACGTCTGGGTGGCCTTCGATATCATGTGCTCCACGGCCTCCATCCTGAACCTCTGCGTGATCAGTGTGGACAGGTACTGGGCCATCTCCAGCCCTTTCCGCTACGAGAGGAAGATGACGCAGCGGTTGGCTCTGGTGATGATCGGCGTGGCGTGGGCTTTGTCTGTGCTCATCTCCTTCATCCCTGTCCAGCTCAACTGGCACAAAGGTGGGGATGTCGGCGGTGCCGGTGATACTGGAGATGGATTTGGCGCTGGCTGGGCAGCAGCAGGTGCTGTCACCACCTGGGCAGAAGATATGGGCACCACATGGGTGGCGGTAGCAGCAATGAAACCCTCTGATGGGACCTCTGGCAGCAATGATACCCTCGCGGGGACATCGGAGAGCTGCGACTCCAGCCTCAACAGGACTTATGCAATTTCCTCCTCCTTGATCAGTTTTTATATCCCAGTGGCTATCATGATAGTTACCTACACACGAATCTACCGCATTGCCCAGGTGCAGATTCGTCGGATCTCTTCCCTGGAGAGGGCAGCGGAGCATGCGCAGAGCTGCCGGAGCAGCCACCTGGACTGCCACCATCACACAAGCCTCAAGTCCTCCATCAGGAAAGAGACCAAGGTGTTGAAGACTCTCTCCGTCATCATGGGCGTCTTTGTCTGCTGCTGGTTGCCGTTCTTCATCTTGAACTGCATGGTCCCCTTCTGCGAGAGCCCCCCCAGTGACCCCCACGCTGGCCTTCCCTGCGTCAGTGAGACCACCTTTAATATCTTTGTCTGGTTTGGTTGGGCCAACTCCTCTCTCAACCCCATCATCTACGCCTTCAATGCTGACTTCAGAAAGGTCTTCTCCAACCTCCTGGGATGCGGTCAGTTTTGCTCTAGTACTCCAGTGGAGACTGTTAATATAAGCAACGAGCTGATCTCTTACAACCAGGACACCCTTTTCCATAAGGAGATAGTGACTGCTTATGTTAACATGATCCCAAACGTGGTTGATTGTGAGGGAAATCGTGAGGACCCTTTTGATAGGATGTCCCAGATCTCCCCTGACCATGAGGTCGCCACTGACTCTGTCTGTGAGTTGGACTGTGAGGGGGAAATTTCGCTAGGCAAAATAACACCTTTCACTCCAAATGGTTTACATTAAATTGCATCCCGTCCTGGTCAGTTCTTCTTGGATTATACAACAACGTATTAGCACTGAGTGGAAAAACCTGCTTGATTTCATGCTATAGTTTGGTCAGTCACTTCATGCTAAACTCATTTCTACGTGTAGCACTTTGAGGATGTAGCCACTGTCACACAGGGCACTGGCAGCACAAACTTAATTCAGCAGTTCCCCGGGCTGAGAGGATCAGGCGGTCGCGTTGATTAGCTGTGGTGAGACACTGTGGTATATTGACAGTCGGTTCATGTTTATAACGTGTTTGCAAACGAAAGGTGCCACTGTCAGTGCTAAGTGTTACAACTTCTGAAATCAGGGACAGATGTGGCTGGCAGAGATGTTAAATAGAGAAAAAAATCTAGGCTGTTCGTTCAGATCTTCTGTTTCTTTTTCTCTGTTGTTTGTTGGTTGGTTGGGTTTTCTTTTTTAAAAATTTTTTTAAAAGATGTAAATAGTGAGGTGGTGATTTGAGTGATTATTTAAATGCGTGTTTCTGCCAAAACAGTTTATGTGAAATTCATGTTCTCCTAGGCGGCGTTGTTGCCCGTGATATCCTTGCCATGTTCCCAGATGAATAAATAAAAGTTACACTGATCAAGGGATTATTATCTTTCATTTATCAACCTGAAAGGTTTACAACAAGTATTCAAACTTTAACATTTATATTTGAACGGTTAGAGCGACTAACAGCTAAACCTTATAATTTTAAAGGCAAAATAGTCTCTATAGAAAATACCATTTTGGAATAAAAGCAAGGCTCACAGGAATGATTGACTTAAATGATCTCTTTTATATGTCTCTACTTACAGTTAGATTTATGCCCATTTTTCTTTAGTGTTCTAACTGATGCTATCCCTCTCTGCAGCTAAGAATATCAAGTATACATAACTATGTTCTAGTAAAACTTTCCTCTTAATGCTATACTTGAACTTACTTTTTAAAGATACTATTAATGAGAACAGTGAGTGGTGATAGAATTAGGAGCAGGATGTGTCTAAAAATAGTAATTATGTTTGAAAATGATGTTAATAATCAGCATTTCCCAGTGTAAACATCAGAGCACTCATTCCAACCAAGGGAAGAAAAAAATGCTGTTGATGTATTTTTTAGTTATTTACTTATTAACTGGAACTTAAATATGCTTTAGGTGCTTTGTCTCTACAAAACTTTTCAAAGCAGTGTTTAAAATTTGTAAAAGAGTCTTCAAAGTGCTGTTTTTATTGAAACATTTACATCAAATGGAATATTTGATTTAGAAATGTTTGTTATCTTTGAGCTCAGAAATCAAAATGGACCTTATTTCCAAGACAAATGATCAAAGGTAGTAAAAGCAATACTGATACTTATTGCAAGTTTTGGCTCACAAAATGAACAACATTTGAATTCATTTACCCTTTAAAGTAGCTGTGCCATGAGCTGAGCAGATTTAAATCGAATTATAGGTGCAGGTCCCTCCTAATGGTCCTGACCTGGGGTCCCTCCCCATCCTGCCTACCTGGGAACTGATGGCCCCTACGTGGTGTATGGGGAAAAAGTAGGATCTACACTAGTCAGCTCACTTCAGGGGAGCCTCTTAATCAAATGCTGGGATTTGTGAATGTTACACATTTCAGATTGAGCCTCTTTGTAAGTGAAGCCCCTAATACTGTTTTGGTGATTGTTTTATCCCTCCCCTTGGGATATGGGGTAGAAGTAGTGCAGGAGGCATGTGACTGAAACCCCTTTGCGATGGCCTCTGATGCAGTCTAGTTTTGTCTGTAAGCAATGTTTTGTGTGTGTGTAGTCTTTGATATTATTTGGTTATATCATCATTTTGGATTATCTTTTCAACTGCTTGTCACTGAGGATTGACATCTACCTGAGCATTTTCCTTGCTGTTGATATGAAATGTCACTAACATCCCTTTACAGCTGTCCTCAGAAAAGGCTGTTGTGACTGTGGCTTAGGGAAGCTTGAAAAACAGAAATCTCATGCCCATAACCAGGCTTAGACTACTAATGGCTTGGCATCGAGGGTGAGTATGTTATCGTTCCTCTACTAAAGCAATCATATGTTGCCAGGAGTTAACTGTAGTTCTAGCCCTGCTGGTTAGATAAACTTGCCCAGAATAAAATCATTTTCCCAAGTAAAACCAAAGGAAACTGCTTCTGCTGGTGCAGTGGTGAGTTACCCCAACCAGAATTTAGATTTTTGCGTTTTCAAGTTACTACTCAAATTTTGAAGCTAGTACAGCATGTTGAACTGTCTGGATCTGTGCAGAGAGGCTACAATACCCAGATGCAAGAGGTGCAGGCACCTGGTGCTGATTCCAGCTCCCTGGGCAGCGCTTGTGTTTTATTCAATTTTGTCCATATTAAATCAGAAACAGCCGAGGGAAATGGGGAAGGGAAAACAAGATCTCTTCCTGAGCACCTGTGTGCCACCAGGCTGTGCGGGCTGGTGCTGCCTGATACACCGTGTTCCAGCGGCAGTACAGAGCAGCAGGACGGTTTCAATAGTAACAGCGAAGAGAGTGTCCCCCCACCCCACCAAGTCACCTTTCCTCTTCTAAATAATCCCTGTACTGGTGGTGTGATAGTTCCCTTGGATCCGGTTCCCTGCAGATGTGGTGGACGGGAAGATGTGTGCAAGAAGACACAAAGTGCAGCCCCCTGACAGGTGTTTTTCTCCTCGTTGAGGCTTTACCTGCCTGGTTTTCTGGAATAAGTGGGTGGGCTAACTCTGGGATGCAAGAAGATGACATGTCCATCAGGGGTTTTATATAACCACTTTACACAGAATATTAGGAACAGTTTTACCTCAGATGTGAAGGAGGGCAATTTTTAGCCTGTCCCCAGAATTTGGAAGCATGATTTGGACAATACAGAAAACTGGCCAAACTTTCCATTACTAATTTTTAGAGTGTGATTTCAGCTGGTAAATGGTTTCTGATGGTGGCTCTATGATGTAATCTTTCTCCTTGAAATATGTACCTGTCAGGGGGCTTCCTCCATCATTAAGGAGCATCAGAAAGGGAACATTTCTGCTTCGAAGGACAGAGAGAAGGTACGTTTTTGCTAGAAGCACAGATTGACCTTAAGGATCTGAAAGAAAACCTTTTTCTTGACTTGTAACATTGGGACAATTTGTTGCTAGTGTATTCAGAATTAGTAAGATAAACTTTTCAGAGAAATGTGTTTCTTGCCTTGAACTATAAAAAGGAGCAGACTCTTTTAATGAAAACATCTCCAAAAAGGCTTTTTTTCAACTTATTTCTCTGATGAAACTGTTGCCCTACTTTTTTAATGGTTTTCCTCTTAAGGTCTAATGCATTTGCCTAGCCATAGAGTTCATTGCAAGTGCAAGTAGGTTTTTATAATCCTCATATCCTTGTGGTGTCACTCTGGAACTCATCTGTGCCAATGGTTTTGTGCCTCCCATCAACGTGTTTTCTCCCGTGAAAGTCACCTTGCTCCTGTCATGCATTTTACACCCTAATTAAGCATGAACTTATTGCTGGCTCTGTTTTGTTTTTTTTCTTCTTTTTTGTCCTGTGTACTTCAATGATTTGAATGTCCAGTGTAGTTTGGTTTTGGGTTATCATTACTTAATTTAGTCCTGAGTGATGGCTGACCTTCAAGGTCGCCGATTATTTTCAGTTTCTATCCTGTGTTACTGTTTATATATCTTACCTTTTAATATGTGTCACGGTTAAATTACCTCTGAACCAACCAAAGGTTCTGTTATGGCTTACTCTGTTAGTCCTGGATAACCCCCTACCAAAGGGGGGCCAGTAGCTCAGTTCTCTGAATGTTTTCTGTCTGAGTTAACTCATGACAGAGGAGTTTGTTTTAGTGAATGAACAGAACATGTGAAGGTATCTTAGTTCATTTTTAAGAAGCTGGGACACGGAGGACATGCAAGTACAGTGTTTTATGTAAAATGCTGCAGACCCTCCCCCCCACTCCGCCAAAGAGCTTTAACAGCCCTGCCTTTAAAAGGAGTGGTGTGTTGTAAAGTGGGTTTTTTTCCTGCCAGGGTAGAGAAATGTAGGTGACTTTCTCAAAGGTGAACACAAACAAAACAATTTTCAAAGGGAGAAAAAGTGCTGCTTTTTTTTTTTTTGTAAGTTTGGAATTTCATCCCTTTTTTCACTTGTGCCAGCCACCTCTCTGTAGGGAGGCTCCTGACAGAGAATTTGGGTTGTTTTGTAACATATAACAAGAAAAGGCTTCAAAATTAGCAAGGCTTCTTATAGAAATAACACTGAGGACAATCTTACACCATTTAGGAGTCAATCGTCTATAAACTCAGTGTTCAAGAGGCTGACAAGACTGGAGGCAGTGTTCAAAACATGCATCAGACTGGAGGCTTGAGAGGTCACAAGTCCGCTTTGTATGTGCCAAAATTGCCACTCTTGACAAGGAGGGCATTTTCATCACTGTCACAGAGAGGTGAGGTATACACCTATGCCAGTGTTAATAATTAATGCAGAGAGTTCTCTTTCTGTTGTGGCCATCTTCACTGCTGTTTAATTGGATTCATCAATTCTTTAAAATTATTCAGTGCCTACTTAAATCAGTAGAAGACCTCAGTGATGGATGTGGGCTTGGGTCACAGAGCAACGAAATTATTTCTTCTGACTTCTTATGAATATTACTACTGGTATTCTCTGCTAGTGGATGATGACATGTTATGAAGTTGGCACGCTGAACAATACTTCACCAGCTGATATGCAGAAATAATTATTTTCTTCAGATTTGCTTACTTGTTTTCAAACTTGGGAAGACTTTTCAAACTTCCCAGGAGCTTCACAAAGTCCACACAGAGCATCTCCACTTTGGTCGTATCTCAAATCAACAACAATCGGTTGCATTTTTAATGCCCTGGCAACTGTGGAGTGCACTATGCTTCTATGAACGGAATTACCCCTCTCTAAGTTTAAACTGATGTTTTCAAAGCTGAGGGTATACTTTTGGTCTAAAAGCACTGATGTGCTCAAA